GTGCACCTCAATTTTCAATTTTTTTTCTACAGACCATTTTTTTCGATCATAACTGTTCTTTGTTGACTATTAATGTACTTCGATTATTCTTAAAAAATTGTTCTGATAATCGAAATGCTCTGAATATCAAACGCTTCAGGTTCTCAACTGGATTGTGAATGAGGTCAATCTTCCCATGTACGCGGAACGGATAGTGGAGCTCAAGATAGATGGAACAGTGTTGCCAAGGTGAATATTCATTGTTTGTGAGGGTACTAGAGGAATAGAGTTTATACTGAGCTTTACGCTAATGAATCTAGAGTGAAAAACTAGAGGATTGGTCAGTCATAATGGCATCATTTCAACGAGATCTCTCTCAAAATGATAAAAGGTTGCTGGGCGAAGTTAAAGAGTTCCGCAGCTATATGAAATGTCTCAAAGTTTCAGGCTGGCAGTGCACAATTCGACATATATGACAAACTATCTTGGAATAAAGTCATCAGTACATCGTCAAAAGTTACGACTCAACGCACTTGACGTTGTCCTGTTCGGCCACCGCGATCCTTCTTCTAAAGGAAAAGACATTGCTCTAGCTCTTTTGGTAACGCTCTTTGAAAGTATTCAATTTTTATCTACCTACATCGAAGGAAAAGTTCTATTTTAGCTTCTTTTGCTCACATCCGTTTTAATTCTCTACGTTAAACAACGGCGTCGAGCTCGCCTACAAGTGACCGAGCTCTCCCAGAAGCTAAAAGAATTGAAGTCTATGGAAAATCAATTTGATCATGAACAGAAGAAGTGGCATGAAGAGCGAAGCAGGCGGTGAGTTTTCAAACAGTAATATCATTGAGAACGTCACTGATTTTGGTTAAGATCAACGAACGATGGAGGCGTGAGCCAAGTAGAAGTCGATAACCTGCGGGTTCAACTAGAAGCAGCCGAACGACGGTTAGTTTCCCTACTGTTGGTATTTATAAGTCTTGGTGATTCTTGGCGAAAGAAAACCATGAAAACAGTGATGTTACATTGAAAGGCTTTTGTTTGTTCCATCTGTAAAATCATCTTTCATTCCGTGCATATTTATGTTATTGATTTATAGATTTTCACAGCTTTATTCTCGATTGTGGATCATTGGAAGTTTTGTCGATTTGCAGATTAGAAGAGAACGGATTCGGTGGTTGTCCTCTCGCACTACAACCGCTGCTTCGAAAGACGTGTGAAGTTGAGATGGCCTTCCTGGAAAAGCAAAAACAAGAGTGAGTCGATCGCATATCGGTTCCTGAATCACCTGATTGTGAGAAGTAGAAGCCAAGACACTGCAGGACAATCCGTTCCAACAAGACATTAAGTACTGCTGTGCGGAAGAATGTTTTCAAGAAGCACGCTGTTTTTTATTTGTGCGCAAAGAAATTACATTTTGATGTAAATGAATTGTTCCATGTGCTTAGAATTTGTTTCTAGCTGTGTAAAAGAGATGCGAGAAGCGATTGAATTGGTGGATCGCCTTCAAAGGAAGACGTCCAGTGTTCTTTCGTCACTTAAACTAGCGACCGGAGCGTCGTCTTCCAGCGACCAGGTTGACAGTAAAATATTTGCTCTTAAGTGAGTTCACTGGTCATTTTTACGTCTTTTTGCTGAATCCACGATAAGTTCGTGAGTTTATCATTGTGCATTGGAAGGTCCCGTATGGACAAAATACAAGTGCTTACTCGTGAATCTCAAGATCGATGGCTACAAATCGAGTCTCTTTGTGGTTTCTCTGTCTTTTATCCAAGCGGTAAGTTGTATTGGAATCGATGTGCTGTTTTTCCTCAGAATTCGCGATATGACTGCACTCGTGTTTTGCATAGCATGTTCTAATTGCAAGCATATCGTGGAATGTTTGGTTGTCTGATGTAGAATAACGGAGCACTTCAGCGGTGACAAGTTCACCTATATACGTTTCTTCGTTGTATGTTGCGTTGTTCTAGAGACGATTCCAGTCATGCAACATTCGGCATCATCATCTCATTTTTACGGCCACAACTCAGGTATGTCAGAGCCGGAGGAGGATGATAGCTCTTCGAGTGGCAGCTTTCTCTAGTCAATCTAGAGTATCAACTTCAACAGTGTCTGTGTTTGTGAATGCCATGTTGTTATAGCACTATGTGAGCATGCTAGAAAACTTCTGAAAGTTCAGCTCATATATGTTTTTGTGTAATCCTTTCTGTCTCCCTTGTTATTGTGATGGTGTTGTCATTGAATTTATACTTACCCCTATTGTATTGGACGTTCCGTTGACCTTTCCAGACAGTTTCACGCTTTTTACTCGGTCGTGCGTATTTGCACAGTGCATAATTCTAATTCAAGTATCTCAGACGACAAAGTGCACAGTAATCTTGCGAAATCAGTGATATAAATAACATACCCCCTACCGGTTTTTTTGACGATTGCTTTGGGCGCGTGATGATTTAGGGCAATTTAGAGCAGTGTGGTATTTTCCCTTTGCTCAATAAGCCAAGAGAGGGGTTCGATGGCAACCATCACTATTTCATTTTACTTTTTTTTTCTGTGGTAAGGGGGCTGTGCAGGCAAATTAATGCAATATCTTTCTAGTCAGCGAGGGAGCGGGGTGTTTCGTATAGTTTTCTTCGGAGAATGTAAGTAGCCTTTACGGTAGACAGGGTAATAGACATAATTGTTGGTCGGAAGTTTTGATTTAGTAGTGCCTTTTAATGAAGCCTTATGACAGAAACATACAACCATGATAAAAATTGTTGGAAACTGTATGGAACAAGCGCAATTTCGAATATCTATGAGGTACAGAAGAATTCGGGAAGGGTTTTCGTAAGATTGCTTCTGAGATGTCGCAGGGATCTGTTTTTGAAATGTTATGAGAATCTATATTTGAGATATCGCGGAGTTCTACAAGGAATATAAGAATAGAACAATATAAACAATTTTATCACTAATCCTCGACTGTCTAAAAGTTAAACTGTAGAGAAATAATAATAAATTCCAAAAAAGTTTATCATTTTGGATGCTTTCAAACACAGAAAAACCAAAACGAATGCTGGTAAATAGTGATACCTTCAGTAATATTCTATGAGTACACTGCTAGTTTGAAAAAGTGAGCGAGTACTATGAATAGCTTTTGCTTTTCAGTTCTTCCACTCTTTGGGAACAACTTTCTATATTAGTTCCAGCCTTTGTTTTTCTTCTGTTTCCGTTTCTTCTGGTTACAACTCGTTGAAGGGATAGAGGAACTGAATGTCAGGAAGATCAATGGAAGCGTAGTGAAGAATTCTTCTGAAATGCACTAGAATTACTTTTTGAAGGAGGGTTCGATTAATAAAGAAGTGATTTTGACATATTCTATCAATCGTGCGCAGAAAGGCCTCCGTTATCAAAAATAATTTCAAAAGAAGTAGAAGGTGTCTGCGGACTTGCGCTTCTGGATTTGGGAACAAAATTTGGGATTTGGAAAAGTATAACATGAGATGATAGCTACCCGAAAACCAACTAGGGGTTTGGGCGACCTTTGGAATGGTCAGGGCCACCCTTCAAAACAATGTTTTCTGTTTTCTCAGATTTTCTGCAAAATTCAATGTTTTGTATGTCATTGCTCTCATAAATGGTTTCTCGAAATGTCTAGTTTGTGTTTACTTGTTTACTCCTTGCATGCCAGTCACCAAAACCTACTCACTTCCTAAGTGACTTTGCTGTTTTTGTTTTTTTTTCCTAACCTACTTTATAATCTTTGCTGCCGGAGCTCTAATCATCGCTTTTGTGCTTTTTCAGCATCGTCATCAGTTTCTTCAAAATCGATACCATCAGGTGGTGGCGGATCTACTCTTCACTCCAGTAATCAAACGATCGCTTCGAACAGCACCACTACGCAACAGGCAGTGAATCCGCAGTCATACCCAGTATTTCATTCCGGAGCTTCCTCTGACGGATCCATTCATACTGTGTCATCTAGTGGTGCGGTTAATGCTACAACAAATGGCATGGCAGCTGGAATGGCTTGGCCTCAACGAGCGTGAGTTATACAGAGTATTGTTTTGTTGTTTTTTTTAAATTTACGCATGTTGGCTGCTAACCTGGTTTTGCAACGAGCCCTCTCACATAAGCTTTGTATCATTTCATTAGAGAAACACATAATCATATATGAACTTAGTTCAGTATAGAGTAGTTTCTTCCGGTAAATTGAAATCGAAAACTTCACCAAGTTTGAGGGAAGATTGTAGATTCCATTATTGAATGAGGTTGGCATGTTGTTTTATGGCTAAACATTAGCTGCGTTTCATATTTTTGTCAACCACTGAGCAATTTATAGCTAGGGTAGCCTCCTTGTAATTAATATTTATGATGTGGTTCTATCATTGGCTATGTGGCTTTGGACCCCTTTCTATCATTAGAGATTATGTCTCGAGGGTTGGCGAAATAAGCCCTTCTTCGCTCGCCATAAGGGGGCAAATAATGGCTGTCAATACGGTTCCGCTGAGTGCTCATCTTCAAGCTATTACCATGAAGGGTAGCGACTGGTCTTACTGAATTAGACAAGCTGGGTGTGGTTTGTGCGAAGAGGGTCTGACCGTTGGCTTGTGAACATGTTTGGTGTGCGATAAGTTATTGCAGTTCTCTTCTCTTGAATTTGGGATATTTAGGCTTCGACTCTTTATTTATAACTTTCATATCTAAACTTATATTAATGGCATGCTATGTATAATTCGTTAAATCCAGATCTTTTTTGGACCAATGACTTTTTTCATTGGCATGCTATGTATAATTCGTTAAATCCAGATCTTTTTTGGACCAATGACTTTTTTCATTGAGCTACTTAAAAGGCAGTAGGACTGAAGGTAGAGTTCATTAATAGTGATCGTGATCCGAGGAGATTGTTGCCTTTTTTTGTGAAAGGTGGGATTTGATGAAACTGTGAAATATCAGAGAGCACAACTGCTCACTTTACAGAAGCATGTATACAGAAGTTTTCGATTTCAATTGTGTGTTATAACCACTTCCATTGTCATCTTTTCATTTAGTTTCATTCGTTGTTTTGTGAGTGTTCTGATTTCCACTAAATTTGTTTTTGTTTCTATTATAATTTGGCGTCAGGACTCATTGCATATTAACAACATCTAGAGTCAAATTCGTTGTGCAGATTTGTGGGCAGAATGGTGATCTACCATCCAAGGTGTGATGTAAATTATAGTGAAAACTTTTACTCCTCCCACACTACTACAGCGTGATGTGAAATATGTATGACCTATTTATCCACTCGCATTCGGTCGCTTTTTTTTAATCCTCTGTGATTTTGAATGATCGATGGCTCGCTATACTTTCAGGTTGCTCGCTTTCATTGTTTTGCTGAGTTATGTGTTGAAATGAAATTATTTACAGTATGACGGAAGACTCTGTTTCGATATCGTCGACCGAAGGAAAGAAGAAAAAGGGTCTGTTGAAGTTCTTCAAGAAGTCTTCGTCAAAACAAAGTATCAGCGCAATTGCACAATGAAATCTACACCTGCGCCCATCATTCGGTATCAGTTTTTTATTAAGGAAAGAAATGTTCAATACTTATTTGAAAATTGTATTTAGAATTAATTTTGCCTTTAACTATAAAGTCGTGCCACGCATTGATCATTATTAGTGGCCTTCGTTTTAGTGATCTTTTTCCTGTTCATATGTACCAAAATCCACGTCAGTTTATCCGGTTTTTCTACACAGCTGTTGTCAGAAGCCGAGGGGCCTTCCTGAGTCCTGATTTTCGATCAGGAATGCCTCTCTCTGATTTTGATCAGCAGGAGGCTTACTTTCTCCGAGCACACTCTTGATATTGGTGAAATATGATGGCATTTCCTTGGCTTCTTGCGTCAGTTGTAGGAAAAGACTAATGGACCATTAAATTGTGATCTAAATGCCTTGCCTTCCCATATCATCGCCAAAATATTTAAATTGTATTTATGGTGACCTTGATTTCTTTATGTTTCTTTTATTTCTCCTTCATCTCAGTGCTGCTTGAATTGTGTCGATTGTCGATTTCCTTCTTGCTCTGCAGTGCTTGTGATCTAGGCCTAAACGGGGTTTTCGCAGTTTTAGCAAGATTTAATTATTAATAATATTTTAGAAATAGTTTAGTGACAACTAAATTCTATACACATTGCTCGCACTATCAACACTGTGATGCTTTACCGACAGTATGCTTGAAATATTATTGGGCTAATAAATTTTTCATTCACTGGTTGTGCAGTTGTCAATTGGCTTTCCATGAGCTTGCTTACTGTCTTGTTTTAGGTTGATTAAGGTAAGCAGTTGTTTGCTGATTCACTATTTAAGGATTACTCATGTCAGAAGCTATTTCCATTGGAGCAGCTGCCAAAGCACCAAAGACTTCTATAAAGCCTGAAAAGAAAGGAAAGAAACCTCTTTATGTAGTAAAATTGAAGCATCTACCATATGGATTCTTTGAGAAGGTTGGACGTTAAGATTTCAAAAGTACGAAATCTTTTACTAAATCAGCTCCCGCGGCATGAAGCTGGGTAAAATCTGAAGTGTTTAAAAGGCAGGAGAGGGATGTGATAAATTTCGTTGTGTGATGAGCATAAAAGTATACATAGGCCCTTGTTTCCTTTGAAGAAGCTGAGGATCAGTCTAATTTGAAACCCTGGAGCCAAGAATATAGCCGGAAGGAACATAGCGGGCAGTTTTTCATTTTGCACAATTCAGGAGCGATTACAGCCATGTATTATTTTTCTTGCTTTCATGCTGCGAAGGCACGAGTGGCCATTTATTTTTACATGGTTGTTAAACCTGAGAATCTGCAATGGTTAAAATATAATCAGTACTTACGATGTATTGGGATTCCAGTTTTCGTCAGTATCAAATTGAAAGTAAAATGATCATGTTTTGACAGCTCCTCGCGTAATGCTTGTATTTTCAGCAACTCTGGGAATACTTCACTCAATTCGGGAAAGTTGTGCGAGTGCGTGTAGCTCGAAGTGTAAAGGTAAGCCTATGCACTGTAATTTTTTCGTAAATATTGCGTGAAATATTGAATAATTTCTCGCCTCAAAATATTTACGCCCCTCTTAAAAAGTGCTCCCGAATGAAGAAACCCTCAATTACAAGAGGTTGTGGTGCCATTTGTTATTGATATTTGTCTGCAGAAGTATAGATTTGTGACACTGCTTATTCGCATATTTTTACGGTTTAGACGGGTAACTTCAAAGGATGGGCATACGTGGGATTCGATAATAAAGATGTGGCAGAAATCGCTGCAGAAACGATGAATGGATATCTGATGTTCGAGAAAAGACTAACCTGCCATGTGAGTTTTATCACTGCAACTTACTTATCATTGGTACTGCTGTCATCATTCTTCACTATAAGTAGTTTGGTATAGGTAATGGCACCTGACAAAATTCCAAAGTCTATGAAGAGTGGACCAAGGTACGTAGCTCCGCCACATATGCGGGGACGGGCTAAAAAAGATGCTCTGAAGCGTAATAAGGATAAGACGAAAGATCAGGAGGAAAAGACGAAGGTAAGAAGATGTTGCATTTTATTTTTTCGAATGACCTTGTTAGTATAGAAGTAATCCATACCCCGCTTTACTGATTTTATCGCATTTTTGTCTTGCTAGTTTCCAAAGACCAGCTTCCTTCTTCGAAGCCCCACTACATCTTATACG